TCTCGTAATCAATCCACTATCCATTTTCATCAGAAAAGCATACATACCCACTGATTTTTGAATCACAAATTCAAAACACAAATGGTATGATCTTGCTTATTAATACAAATAAATTGATGGATATTGAAAACAATTTGAATGTCTTCAATATAGATAATTTACATACCGGTCCCATATGTAACTTAAATGTGCTTTGTACTACATGTAAGCACCTCATTGGTACATTAAGTTTACTTGATTTTACATGCTTCAATTTCGAATTTTTTTTATTATTATTTTGAAATTTATTATTTTGAAACGTTTTTTTTTTTTTTCCGTTCGTTTCCTTTATACAGATGCGGCATATGGTGGTGACCGTTATAAAATCATCAGCTATAGCGGCTATGAGACCACGTGGGAACAGGCTCGCACTGAATGCCGTAGACAAGTCGGCTGGGACCTCGTAAGGATTGACAGCAGAAAAGAGGACGATGCCCTTAAGGCTCTTCTGGCAGCTCAATGCAGTTAGTATATCATATGTCTACAGGATCAAATATTTTTTTTCCGATATGATAAAAAGCGACAAGAGTCGAAATTTTAATTTTATATGATTATGTATAAAAAGAAATTAACTGATGATTCAATGAATGTAAAAATTTACATTTTAAAAAAAAATCCCTGCGATATATTTAAGCGGTATGTATAAATTGTTAAGTCTAAACTCATAAGTGACTATACATAACACCTGAGGCCTGTTCAACAGAGCGAGTGCTCGCAAAAATTTCTGTTGGAGGTAAAAGGAATTTTGACGAGCGCTCGCGAACGTTCGCTTTGTTGAACAGACCTCAGGGCGATTATATTTAAATAATGCGTTGTGTTCTATAATTATATTCTTCTGAACAAAATAATTGCAAATTTTTATATTATATGACATTTTAATCTACTCAGACGAAGGAGGTGATGGATGGTTCATAGGTGGAAGGTCAGAAAATGGCGGCCTCTGGACTTGGGCAGACGGCTCCCAGATGATCTATACACATTTCTCAGAACCTTCCATGCTAGATTCCCAAAGGCCCCGCGACACTTTGCCTCGTAACCCATTATCATCCAACACAGTAGCACGTGACCAAATGCAACGTGATCCAGTATCACGTGGTGGCCGGATGTCTCTCCGCCCTCGGTTTGACGTCGGCAACACTGAATACGCTGCTATTCTGAAGGAGGATCTGGATTGGACGAAAGTTCCGTCCATCTCCAGCCTCAGAATGGGATACGTTTGTGAGAGAACAACGTGTTCCAACAGATCTAGATTGTAAGAAATAAACTGAATAAAAGCTGATAAGATTTGAATCTACTGGTTTGTTCTATTATGTATATCTCAGTCGCCGAAAGAGCTCGCTTCGTGTCTTTGGTTCGTGTTCTTACATAGGAAGGAATATTTAGTCTAACAGTTTTTATTAACAAACGTGCTGACAGAACGTGAAGAGACAAAATGAATTTCAAGCAAAAAGAGTAGCATTCATCACCAAACTTTCGACTGAAGAGGTTTTTTAAAAGCAAGATATTTTTCCCGCCAAAACTTTGGTCTTCGTTAATAATTTTTTTTAAAATGAAGATCAAATATTAGAAAGAATGGAATTTTAGAAAGAAAATAATTGTGATACACTGTACTTACTCAAATTTAAGGGTCTTTCGAATGATCAGTGATTTTTTGAATTGATTTCATTTTTTCAAACGTCGATTGATTCCATACATTTTGCTGCACTTTTCCTTCACTACATGTAACTCTCTATCTTTTATTTCCTTTGACGAAAGCATTGAATGGGTTTTCTTGTTCATATGGACAAAAAATGTTTCCTTATCAAGCAGTGGCGATAAATTTAATTATGAAGGTACATGTATTATAAACAGAGACAAGGCGTGTCATAAGTAATCATAATTATCCTTTGTCAAATCAACGTCATTAATACCATGTATGATACACGAGAAGACAAATGCAAGTCCCTGGAAAAAAAAATACATTGGAAGCAGAGCAAGCATGGACCCCTAAAACACCAGAGGTGAATCAGATGCCTTGGAAAAGAAAGTTTTCCATGTCGACCGGTTCAATCTTAATGAGCATGTTGTCATTATCGGGCAAATGGGGGAAAAGTATACAGAGGACATTGTGAAAATAATCAAATGGCGAACAATTTGTATGAAAACTGTTAGTCAGTATTTGACTTTTAGATTGATTGTTTTTGCTTACGTCATTGAATCAATCATTTTGTCTTCAAATGGTTCAGAATCTGTTGTTTTCCTTGAACCCACACTTTTTTGTCAAAAGCTCAGGTCATTTTAGAAATCCATAATCGTTCGTACATAGAGAATACCCTTGTATCGAATCAACTAGGAGACGAAAAACTGCACATGCAGATAATAGTTCCAAGTAGATGGCTACAAAAGGTGAGTTGGCGATAGAAAAGTCGGTCATTTATCTTAATCATATAGTTTTGTAGTAATTAAGGAGGCCAACAATTTCTGGATTAATACAAGTACATATATATACATAAAATGCTAAGAAAAATTGAAATCTTGTACACTGTAATTTGTAAATGTAAGGAATCCAGATGTAATTCCTTAACACATCATCGCATTATCGAGGATTAGGTCAGTATGCAGTGCGATGGTGCGATATTGATGACATGATAGTACCATGACTGTGGTGCCATATATGACCATCACGATGAAATGATATTCACTTAGCTATATTTGGTGCTCAGTAGTGCTATCATATCATCGTCATTGTGCTATTGCTCCGTCTTTAAGAAAAGCAAAATAAAGTTCAAAACTGCGTTTTGTATGTCCTTAATTTCAATATCTCCAGGTGTTAGAAATTTTATACTTCCATGGAGTAGAGTTGAATTCAGCTATAATAGAAGACAAACGTCATTTATTTATAATCTCACATTTAATTCACAAGGCTTGAACTGCAACTTGTCACTTCAATAAAGGGTTTCTTACAATGAACACTACTGTGGGAAAAAATAAGCACAAAAAATGCGTCATTTTTTTTTACATTAATCAAGTAATATCTCTGGACAAAAAGCACCAAGTTCATAAATTTAAATAACATTCATTTTTACATGACAGATACCATAATAATGAGTATTCTTATAAAACACAAAAGACACTGCAATACTCAATTCTCTCTCTCTCTCTCTCTCTCTCTCTCTCGCAATTTCACAATTATTCACAAAGATGACGTCAATAAATTATACATCATCATATTCCTTTCTTTTCTTGGAATACTGTCGTTGGAAATGTTTCTAGTTTTAATCGTTCTATAAAAACAATCATTACACTTCCGTTGTTGTTTTCTTTTGTAACCCTGGTACGGGTAAATCAATACTAAACTGATCACTAACGGTCACGTGATCAATATCAAGCTCATCTAACATTTCAAGGTCGCTGAAGGGGTCAGATATAAAATAGTCCTCATCACTTGTCATGCCTGGGCGATAATTGTCGTATTCGGATTCATACGCCGCCGATCCCGAGTCCATATTCAGGGCAGGATCGCTCTTTGACATTTCACTACTGCTAGCTATGGACGACAAACTCAAACTTTCAAGTCCAAGAAGGTTTCTTCCAGCCAGATACTCCTCAATTCTAGCTTGATAAAACGGATCAATGTAATCCCGCGTCATTTTAGGACTTCCACAATTTGATGACGCGGCTGATGACGCATTATCCTCTCTATCGCTTGGAATATAGTCAAGGCTTTTGCAGGGCCTTACAGGCATTGTAAAGTTGCCGCGTCGTTTGACTTGAAATGAGTTTTGAACCAGATTTGGTTTCGCTGATGATTCTTTTACAGGGGAATTTTGTTTTGCTTTTACAGGAACTGGTAGTCGTGTTGGCTTTCTTTTAGAACTATGTCCAGCTTGTCCACTTGAGGGCGGTTTTCCAAATGCATGAGAATTCTTCTTCTGACCTTCCGTGTCCTCTGATTTCGAAGGTTGAGAATGTTCTTGCTTGAAGAAAATATCTTGATTTTTGCTGGATTGCTCCCCAGCCAGTTCCTGCAGTAACTGGGTCAAAGACGATGACGCTGCGGAACTCAGAACAGGAAATTTTGGCGTTGGTGGACCGTGTGAAAAACTTGAATAAATCGTGTCGCTTGACCTAGAGAAATTGCGATCGAGATTCGATATCATATAGTCAGTGTTTGCGAGAAAGGCACGAGTATATTGTGTGTAGCAGTCGTCTGCAGGACAAGAAAGTTGCTTTACGTATGCAGGCCTTGCAAGTTTTAATTCAATTGGTTGTAAAAGCACCACAGAAGAATGCTCGCTGAAGGGTTTAGAACTAGTGGATTCCCTATCATCATCGGAATGCATTACCGGCGTAAGTATTTCTCTCCTGTGATGCATTTGCGAAGATCTCGGCTTAACTCTGGGACTTGAATTGCTGCGCTGTACAACTGCATTAGGTCTAACTTCTGCAGTTCGTTGTAACTCTTTATCTGTTTGCATTCTTCTGACAGGTAGCGGCGGGGGTTGAGCATTAGATTGCTGAAACGCTTCGTCCTCAGGACTGGACATAATAGACATAGTTCTTCCATCGATGTTTGCCACTAAAGCAGGTGAAGGCGTTAGAGTGGACTGGGAAGATGTGCTACTGGCTCGGGACCCCCTTGACACTCTTCGTCCTCCTTCCAGATTAGGTTTTGGGGGTATAGGGGGCGGAGGAGGTGAAATCGAGCACCTCGAATTTTCCTCTTCGGTTCTTTCAAAGATACTTCTTTTAACAGGGGAAGATTTTGGACTTTGTCTTGGAGGAGAAACTAAGCCTTTCTGGTGCCCATGAAGAGGAGATGGAGGTTTTCTGATAGGACTAACGGGTAAGCCTTGCTGAGGAACCTGTTGTGGAGCATGAAAAGCTTGATGAGGACTAAGTGGTTCACGATAAGTAGCTGTGACGAAAATATCGTCTGATGAATTTCTGTTATGCACTTTTTCGTCGTCTTCCATCTTGTTCATCCTTCTCCGATTTGGATGTGAAGGACTTACGACCTGGTTCAGCTCTTTCAACATGTTTGTAATCATCATTCGGCTTTCCTCGGGAATATCACTGGGATCTGGTCGGTCGTACTCGCCTTGGTTGAAAAACGAAGGATTTCCGAACGGCATGATAGGTGGCGCATTTTGAACTTTCCGTGCTTGTAGACCCGGCGCCGCTTTGACGGCGTGACGTAACTCTGGTACCGCCCCCGCCATGACAAAAGGAGTGGGTCTGATCATAGGCACGGTGGGACTAACTACCTGACACGGCTTCGTGACAAGTGGACCTTTAGGCGGACTCACCGGAATTTGACTAGGCTTTCTGATTGGTTGCACCGAAGCGTAATAAGGTGCGGTGTATTTTTCTTTATGGTTATTTCTATCATTCGTATCCATAGAACCTCGGGAACCACCAGTGCTATATCTTTTGGAACCAGCTGGTGCACTTATACTCTGTGGAATTTGCGGAGGGGATTGGTGGGCCATAAGATTGCTATCACTGACGTTTCGTTGAATTTGTTTATAATGGCCTCCATTACGATTATGTGACGAAGGTGATTGCTGTAGCAATGGCGTATTAACATTAATTGCCTCGTCTTCGAATATGGGCGTTGCGTACAAACCGTTCGCTGGTATTCGTGAAACATTGCTTCCCGGGTAAGAATTAAGGCTCGGTAAAAAGGGTTGTTCATTAATGTGTTCTGATGTATTAGGACTTGTTTTTAGATTCTCAAACATGGAGTTTTGTAAAGGATGAACATTCTGCGTCTTCATATTCATGAAGTGAACAGCCGGAAGTTCTGGTGAATCCATTCGAGCATACGTCACTTCCGATTCTGTTTCAGATATATGACCGGAAATGCAATGTGATAAAGCATTAGATGTCGGTTTTCTCGATGGATATTTTGGACTTTCGGTACTATTACGTCTTTTTCGGTTCAGACTTCCCGGGGGAGTTGGCATTCCTTTTGCTGGGTCAAAGTTCAAAGGTAAACGATTCTGTGAACGGAAAGATTCGTTTCTAGATATACTTTCATGTGAAGAAAGACTTGCAGCACTTGGATTTCTTACAACTAATGCCCCACTTCCAGATTGTCCTGATAAATGACTGTTTGTCATGTTATTCATACTGTTGAGGCTGGGTGAAGTCTCCACCCCCGAAACTCTTGATCCAGGGGTGAGCAAGCTCGGAGAGCTGGGGTGCTGACTTAGGGGCGGGGAGCTCGGGACATTGGCGGCTGACAGACGCGGTGATGACGCTGTTTGTATGATGCTGCCTGGTCGGCGCCTGCCCAATAATAAATACGTCACCATGTCACCTTTACCCTTGACCTTTATCACCCCTCGACATTGGAATTCATACTTTTCATGCAACACGTTGTAAACATCTTCTGTTACCTAGGTAATGTAAGAAACATAACAAAGTGAAAAAGTCTGTCACTGTGATGCCATACCGGTATAACAAAGCCATTTTTAATTGAAGATTAGGAACGAAATATACAACAATATGTAATACCTGAATGGCATTGGGCTTTCCAGTGCTTTCCATTCTACTTGCTACATTCACAGTGTTCCCCCAGATGTCATACTGAGGCTTCTTGGCTCCAATAACACCGGCTACAACAGGTCCAATATTCACCCCTAGAAAAAAAACTTATAACTGAATTTGTTTGATTAGAATCGAACTTTTTCAATCATACTTTATTGCAAGTTTGGGAATTTCTGGTGAGTCTGTAAAAAATTGGCGCAACTGAACTCCGTTATCTTTGATGCATGCATATTGACTAATTGAGTATCATAAATATGCCGAAGTGAACTTAATTCTAGAATACGTTCAAGTCCAAACCACTTTTTCTTAGGTATTTTAATCTCAATTTTCCCAAATAATCCAGAGATTTGAAGATTATCAAACACTTTTTTTTTTACATAGTACTCTATATTCTCTAATAAAATAATTGTCTTACCAACTTTGAGCTGGAAATCGTTGTAAGAGTTTTCGTTAATGACTTGTAGTTTATCCTTCATGGCTAGGACGAATTCAATCAGTAGCTCCATATAGCTGGATATAGAACTCTGGGTTTCCTGCAAGTATGCAAAAAGTATTTCGAATTAATTTTCAAAGTTTATGTTCTTTTATACCAGCGATTTTTGATTTCTTGGTTAGAATATTTTTTTTCTTTCTATATCAGAAAAAAGACTTACAGTTTTTCTTTCTATATGCTTCAAAAATCAGGCGAAAAAAGATTTTACGAAAAAAAATTTCAAACATAAATATTACTTAATGGATTAAGTATTAACTTCTCCTTTTTTATGCAAATTGATCTGAATCATTAAAAACAATTAAATACTAGTATTAAAAGTAAAATTTAACGATGGAATGAAAGTTTTGCTCAAAAGTACATTTCGTTAAATTCAGCTGTTTACAATTAAAACGTCTTACATGTGGTTTATAAATCCTACATTTACGTTACCTGTAACCTATAATCGGGAATTAGTCCTACGGCGGCCATGTAGGTGCTACCAATGGTTTTAATTTTGTCTATGGCGCGAAATCTAGGTTCGTTTAAAAGCTGAAAGATAACAAAAAGCAGAATAATATAATAAAACGGGAAAATATATTCTTGATCAAAACATATACATGGTATACGTTAGTTGGTAATAATATGTAGACTGACCTCATCAAAATCAACGAGAATTTCATTCAGAACACGCAAGCATTCCATGCCTTGGTTGTTTGCGTCTAGCTCTATGTAGAAGTCCGAGAAGTTTGGAATGGATGCAAAGAAAACGCCCACTTTTGGATAATACTGACTATAAAGTTCCTGTAAAAAGTACTTTGTTGTAAGATATATTGAAAGTAATGAATAAATATTTAATTTTTTTTTAATTTTAATCCAATATCTAGAGGTGTTTGTCGACTTGTATTACGAGCAAAATTAAGAATAAGGTCCTTCAGACAACAGCAAATGCACACCATTCCTTTTAAAAATTGGAGAATAATGTCTTATTACGATTTCATTCCATAAAGTTAATATGGATCTCAACAGATTTAAAAATTGGATTCTAATTTAGAGAGATAGCTCTTCACCAAAATAAAATGTTAAGAAAATCATCTTAGATATTTTAACACAACAGTATTTTTTTTAAAGAGGAATTAAAAAATCTCTTGGTCAGATTTTCTTTGTTCAAAATTCAAAATGTACCTGTAGATGAAAAATGTTTTAATTCATTACATGTACATTTGACAATAACAACGATCTACTAAATTTTTCAACACAGATTTAGATTTCGCAGAATTTATTTGCTTAACAGGTAAGAAAACATTCAAGGCCATGTAAACTAGTTTCCTATATATACAGATATAGTACATTTTACTTAAATCCTCAGAATCAATACGATGAAAATTTACCGTTTTCTTGCTGGAAGTGTCAAGGAAATGAGCGGCCACGTGGGCCGGAAGTAAATTACACAATATCCGCTTGTTGTTGTTTTGAACTTCCGTCATCCCAATTTTCTCTTCTGTAGCCTGTCAGAAGATAATCATCGGATGGTTAAAATAAAACATATTTCATCGTCAGGACCACAGAGTTTGGATGAAACTTGATTTCTTAACTGTGGAGTGCTTTTTAATAAATTATCCATAAATCGTGCAGAGAATTCAAGATGTCCTTGAGAGGGATCGTCCTTACAATGATATCAAAACAATTTTTCACAGAACTTTCCCTGTTTGATGCATTAGACTGACACTCTATTTTTTTTAATCTTTCGTCATTTTGCTTTTTGTTTTTCCTTGTTCTTCATATTCAACGAAACGAAATGGAACCGTCCTTTCATTACCTGTAACTTCCAGAGAAAGTCAATTCTTGTCCTATGTTGCGAATTGAAAAGTTTTCTTGTTCTTAATTTTTAGCGAAAAGAAATGGAACTTCTTTTTCTAAAGTTACTGAGCTACTAATTACCTGTAACTTCCAGAGAAAGTCAATTCTTGACGTCCATTCTTGCTGTCGACCTTGAAGATACAAGGTCAACATGAAGACAATAAGGACAACCAATCCGGTCACCCAAGTCGGCACATGTCGTCTGCAGGGCAAAAAATTAGAAATGCGCATATTTAGTGAAAGAATAATAATCCTTGGTGTAGCTGAAAGGCTTCTATGTCCCTAAAAATATATATCCTGGTTTTGTTAATTTGACACACATGTATTTAATTCCATTGAACTTTTGAGTTTTGTAAAAGGGGAGATATACAATATTTTCGGTACAATTTCATAAGGTTGTTTTACGTGAAGAGGGGGGGGGGTGTCTTAAACAAGGCCAAAGCATACTATAAGCTTTTTAAACATTCATATTTTTTTTAATTTAGTTACATGCAGCTGGATCGCAGAAAACGTATAAAAGAAATAAAATAAGTAAATATTATTGCAGTATATAGACACTCACTCGTGCATATCATCAAAGGAGTGAAATATTTTGTGATGAGTGACTTTCATAACAACAGTGTACACTGCAAACATGATGATCATTAACAGCAACTTAATTCCCGCCGCCAACTTCAAAAACACGGAAACAGAAATAAAACTCAGTACTCCAGCAAGGAAAATGTATTGTGGGTAATCACATGACAAGTGTGTGTCACCACTTCCGGTTAAACTCGTCATTGTCAAAGCTTCAAATAGTGCCGAAGATTGGCAACAGAACTGAAAAGAAATGTTTGTAAAATAGATACATGATTCTTTTTTGAAATATGAAATTAAAAACGAAGAATATAGACTTTGACTTCTTGAAGTAATGTTATTCGACATGATAACAGGTTGATGCTTATCTAACATGTACTTACAATGTTAACTTGAGACATGGAATAAATCAGAATTATCGTTGTCAGCATTATAAACAGCCTGAGCCCCGAGGACTTCCGAATATCAAAAACAGTGCACTGCAAATAAAATCAGAAAATAAATGATATAATGTTGTCTTGAAGTCTTGTTTTTTATTTCATAAAGAAAATAAAAAACATGAAATTAGAGAATATGGCATAGAGTTATGTAAGTTTATTATTACATATAAGAAACAACACCGTTTCCTTAATTTATAATGAAAAAAGAACTTAAATATTCATGCAATGAATCACAAAATATAACTTTACATAATGCACTTATATCGATTTTAAAATTTATTGATGGAAAGAGAAAACAATACAAGGGGGCTGGGAAAGACATAGATTTCTTACTTTGTGTACTTTTTAATTTACATTAAGCACAACAGAACAATTCTGCATGTAAAACAATATTTAATGACTGATAAAAATTAAATGAAAAAAAATAACCTATCTACTAGTAATGAATAACCTGTATTCCATTTTGAAAGACCTGGAAGAACACTTTCCAATGGAAAATTGCTTTGTAATTCTTAAATAATTTTTTCCCTATAAAGGTATGTTATATAAAATAAAATCAAATCTATCAACTCTGATCATGACAATTAATAATACAGGAGAATTTGGATTGCATAATTCGTATAACAGAAGCTTTTAAAGACTTTTTTTCAACTGGGAGTGGGTATATGTTCATTTCATTTTTAAAAATCTTTTGTTTTTTCTGTCTGGGATTAATAATAGATTTTACGAAAGTTTAATAAGACATTAAATTTAGTGCAAACCAAATCTAGAGGTTTGATTTCCTAAACTGAACACGTAAAATTTTATCCACTTACTTTGAGTTTTACGCTCAGAATCAACATCAACACTAGAGCGATCCAACAAAACGTTGTCAGGAACAAAATCAACAAGAGCATGGTTCTGAAAAATAAATTAATTTCGTTTAAAATCTACGGTACGGTGCAACTTGTCTATTCCGTATCTTGCGTTATCCGAAACCTTGCCTATTATGATGAGAATGTTTAATACTCCATTCTTTCAAATACTGCTTTTTTTCAGGCAAATTCTTATGAAACCAGACGGTTCAATTTAGACTACTTTTACTGTAATTCGTGTACATTTATCCTGTAATCAGAAAACTTAACCTGTACCAGCAATTCATAAAAAAATTACCTTGGTAAAATGGCCGTTTGAACGCCCGCCATACATATCAGCATTACTAAGGAACAAATCATACTGCTGCTGAAGGCAAAGTCGTTTGTAGACTGGTACTGTTAATAAACACGAATTTTTAATCATTTAAAATAAGTAAAGTTTTTACATGTATCTAAACATCTAACAAACTTAATAAATTAAAATTCATCTTTTTTTATTTTTTGTAAAACTTCGCTTCTGCAAAGCAGTTGCAAATTTAGTATTGGTTGAAATTTTTTTTTTTCTTTAATGTATATTTTGTCTTTGCAAAATAAGTTATCAGTGTACAATGCCAGTGTTCTCCAAAATGAAAAAAGATTTTATACTCAAAGTGAAAGTACAGAAGAATATACATTTATATATATACAAGAATAATTTATGAATTATATATCACGACGTTTGCATAATTATCCCTTTCACCATTGACAATTTCTGATCAAACTGAAAGTAAAAGAAGATTTCTACCAATGTTCGTTATGACTTATTTCTATGATCTATCCCTACCCTTTTCTCTTGGAATGAACTTTTGAACCTCAGAGTAAAGCTGTTGACTTGGTCACGTTTTTCTTTCTCCAGGTTCCTCGCCTTCAGCGCCTGGGATATGTACAAGTTAGCTGACTCTGTTGACGTCTGCTGTTTAGACGGGCCTCGACTGATTTATAATTAAACAATACTTTAATTGATTAATTAATTAATAATTTTAAAACCAATTTAATTAATTTTGGTACATTTTAAATTTTTGTCCTAAATGTGTTTTCATACTTTATAAATAAACAATACTTATATTAAGAGTATGAATATTGGACACTTTGTCAATATTTTGTTGTTGTTCTGAACGGGTTTTCATACTTTTCAATGCGAGATCATTAATAACACTAGAATGAAGTTATCAGTTGGAAAAATCTCAATAAATTTTTTACAAGTAAAATTTGATTTCCCAATGGAGAAACAAGAGGCCCAGGGGCCACAACGCTCACCTGAGCACACTGGCTAGGAAAAAGCACATATCAGATCAGAACTGAAAGTTTACTTTTATATGATTTGAACAAACTAGAATTTTATGACACTAATCATAGCTTTGAAGTACTTGAAAAGATGATTTTAAAAGGTTTCCCTATAAATCCCTATGTAAAACTTGGGTCAGCCATTTTGGCCCCACACTAGCCCCAGGGGTCATGATTTGAACTAACTTGAATCTACACTACCTAAGGATGCTTCCACATGAGTTTCATTTTCCTGGCCCAATGGTTCTTGAAAAGAAGATTTTTAAAGATTTTTCCTATATATTCCTATGTAAAACTTGGGTCGGCCATTTTGGCTCCACCCTAGCCCTGGGGGTCATGATTTGAACAACTTGAATTTACACTACCTGAGGATGATTCCACATGAGTTTCATCTTTCCTGGCCCAGTGGTTCTTGAGAAGAAGATTTTTAAAGATTTTTCCTTTATATTTCTATGTAAAACTTTGGTCGGCCATTTTGGCCCCAGCCCCGGGGGTCATGATTTGAACAAACTTGAATCTACACTACCTGGAAAATGAGTTTCATCTTTCCTGGCCCAGTGGTTCTTGAGAAGAAGATTTTTTAAAAATTTTTTTTCTCTAATTCAATTATCTCCCCTTGGAAAAGGGCGTAAAAAATTTGATCCCCTTTACCCAAGGATGCTTTGTGGCAAGTTTGGTTGAAAATGAAAAGAAGTCGAAAATGTGAAAAGTTTACGTGATCAGAAAAGCTAATTGTAATTAATATCTTAAAAACCATTCAATTTTGAGAAAATTTCCAAAAATAAAAATGGCATCAATTTATTTCATTGCAGGCATCGATCATGGGATAATAAAATTTCAACGGATTTCCTTGGTACCTCAGTCGATTAACCGAATTGCATTTTGAGGGGGTATTGTCCCAAGAAATCCATAAATAATGCCCTCCCACGAGCAATTTTTGTTGCAATCGAATAAATACAAAGATTGTTTTGAAAAAAAAAAAATTTTTATTTCTAATTTTATTACCTCGACTGTCCTTGGAAGGCTTTTCTTATTTTATCCCTCACAGAATATTTAAAGTTTGACTGAAAAAGAAGAAATAAATTTTAAACATAATTTTACTATTTATACCTAAGCTTCAAAATTCAGTGGTATTAGTAAAAGACAAAGCTGTATTTAAACCAACGTTTTAAAAGCACGTGTACTTATAGCAATTCAACAGATTAATAAAAATCAAATGAATAGCAGGTCGGGAAAATGTACAAGTGGTAAGAAATATAACTTTTTAAAGACAAAATAAGAAAATTTCTTCTGGGAAACAAAAGAAAAGCATTAATTGACAACTGGAAGGGAAATCGATATTATTGCTTATTTTGAGAAAAAAAAAATAATAAAATGTCCACATTCAGTGAAAGGGTGACGAAAGCTAAGCAGTTAATTAGTAAGCAGCTTGTAATTCAGATATAGTAATTATGATTATAGGAACAATCGTTGAGTCAGATTTCATGCAATTTGTCTAAATTGTATTCTTGAGATTATTTTTACATGAACAGAATTAGCGTTTACTGAGATTTTTCCTGTCAGTACTTTTATTTCATAAAAATTAAAAAAAATATGCCTTAGTTTAAGCTCGGGGTAAAAAAAATCAACCATCAGATATGACTTATTTTTTATAGATATGATATATTTTAAACTGTCAAAAATCATTTGGCAAAGAAAAATTCCCTACATTTTAGTTTAAAAATTTGATTATTTTTGAATATTTTTATATGGAACTTTTCTTCTAAAGGAGATCAATATAGACTAAAAATGACCACAACTACCCAGCCCTTTCAAAGTTTAAGTCAAAAACGAGGATAAGACCCAGGGCATTTTATTAAATGCGTGGGTGTTTAGGAGATATAATTCTGAACCTTCTAAAATAAAAGAAGTTGTGTGTTCATTTCGCTAAATGTACTTTCTGGGTATAGAAGCTTTTAAAAAAGGACATTGATCCTCCAAACCAAAACTTTAAAGTGGATATTCAAGTCTTAATAAAAGATTAATTTTGGCTTCATACTGTGACTTCAGACAAATAGATGAGCTTATCCGAAAGAAAGACATTTTATGAAAAACAGCGTTGTCTATTCCGGCTAAAAATGATTGTTTTGCATCAGACGAACCCGTTGAACTGCATGTGGAACTTTTTTCATGTTCATCAGACGATCATATATATCAAGCAAGAGAGCTTAAGTTTCTGATTTATTTCTGAACTCCATTGTTCTGTAAATGTTAGAAGGCCATGGTTTTCTTCTAAATATGCCTCCAACATGCAACACGTGCTTTAGAAACGGATGTCAAGCTGGTAGTTTTTGCTTCTTTATTTTTAGTTCGTTAAATATAACAGGCCTCCTTGCATTTGAATCCTCAAATGAAATAGAAAAGGCAATTTTCTGCGGAAGTCATCGGTTTCAGAAAGATTACGCTAATTGACTAGTGGTTCTCTTTTAGTTTTCCGTTGTTAATAAATCTTAACTATATCGATTCAATACTAATAGAAACCTTGAATAGAAAGCTTTTTTCCTGATATAATGTAGATATTGCTTTTAAGGAGATCAAATCAGGGATTTATAGAAAACCTGAGAAGTACAATATTCACCGAGCCCGAAAGGCGAGGTCTCTTCTGAAGGTTATGCCGCAGTGTAATTTGAAGTTGAACCCGCAACGTAAGGATCAACTCGTTACTCCAACACTGTAGTAAGAGTAACTACTAACTACATGTAGTAACTACTGCGCCACACCGGCATCGATCATGGGTTAAGGTTATATTATAGATTTGGTATATCATCTACGTTTAACTTTCAAAGTAAATTTTCATATTTTTCAAAGTTCTTTTTTTAAAGTTACATGTACAGTGTATAGATGATTCCGTTTTGAATAGTTGTATAGTAATAATGGTAAGCTTTCAGAATTATATTAGTACTTTGATTACTGGTGTGTAGAGTACGAAAAAAGTTGTTTACTTTTTTCTTTAAAGGCTGTAAGAGTTCTTGTCATGCCATGCCATCTATACCCCACAGCTTATTTGGTATTTTAAAATTGTTCACTTTCTCTCACCAGTTTAGATCCGGGTTCTTGGCGGGGCGGATCTGGCTGGGGATTAAGGACGTCAGAAAATGGAATCTCTGCATTTAGTCGAATCTGCATTAACCGTAAGACAATTCTAGAGGTGTTCCGGAAAGACGGCTTCTTGGCGCGGATCAAATTACTGCGTCCCATACAGATTCCTGGAGTCTAAAAAATATATTTTACGTCAATCTCACTGAATTATCTACTTTGATCGGAAATGCTGCAAATTTGATACATTCAACTAATGCATCGTGAATTACATAACCAGAAAATAACAAGTTTTCGCGAACATGAAACATACAGGTTATCTTCTGAAGATAATATAGGAGATTGAACAGAAATATTTGATGAAAGTGGTTTTTAGGATGTAGACAAAACGTTATCTGTTTGATCTATTTTTAAACCTTTTGCTATTTCAGCATTTGCTTAACCATGTATCCAAATGGTTTATCATTAAGAATCATTGCAGAGCTTACAAATCTATTGACTTGAGTACTTTAAAGCAGCTCACAAAATAATAGTTGCAGGGTTTTCGAGTTCTTTTTTTAAATGTCCATTCGTAATTTTGAAAATGTAACCTTGGTCATAAAAAAGACGCATCCTTTAATCATAAGTAATCTTTGAGAGAAATATAAACATCCAATAATTCTCCATTAAAACCTTGTGGATTTTACATGAAATTTACTGTAAGATCACATATTTCCGTGGGGTCAAATTTTCGTGGTTGGAGGAAAATCTACGGGTTCGTGGGGATTTGACTTCGTGGATGAAGAATTGTTGAGTAGTTATATATATGACATTTTCCTTTTCGTGGTGGACATGAATTCGTAGGTCACTTCATACCTCGAAATTAACAAAAATTAAACCCCCACGAAAATTAGTGATTTCACAGTACATGTTTTCTGTCAGTGTCCTTGAACTTGTCACAATGATTTTTGGCCAAGGTTTTGACATTATAACTTCAAGCTCACGGATAGATTTTTTAGAATCTTTTTTTTTCAGCCTAAAATGTTATACATTTTCTTGCCAGATACTAGTACCTTGAATTTGAAGGAAAGACCTTGGATTGACAGGGCCATGGAATATTTTCAAGACACATATGAATGCAATAAGTATTTTTATGAAGATTGAACTTCTCATTTTACATATTAGAAAGTTATAGACCAGAACGGGTTAAATATTTTTCTTAAATTGACGTTAACCTATGGTAGGATCATTACACATGATACTTTAGTCATTTTTTGTATCAAGTGTCAATTTCTTACTAGACTTTATTTGAAAGTTAATAGGTTTAAGACATTTTCGTGTCAATTATCAATTTCTTATTAGCCTTTATTTGAGAGTTAAAGAGTTAACTTACTAAAATAATTTACAATATAGACTAGCCACTTAATTCAAGAAAAGAGATCGCAATGTTCAGCAATGAGATATGTGTATAAGGTGTATTTCGATTTTTGACAATATCACACCCACATTTCTAGGGGGACTTTCAGTAATCAGGAACGTCTCGATCCCCCTTTCTTTCAGATAAGCGTTCCGGTCCCCGCCATTTCCGGGCTCCACTTTATACTCTTCAGGAAGATGACGTAATGTTGCTTTCGTCAGGTGGACTCTCCTACGTTGAAATAAATATGCAAAATAAAAATTACTTCGAAGCAAACCATGTTTTTTTCTTTAAAAATGTTGATATGTTTTCACAAGCTTTGTTATTTTCAAAATAATTTTTATTACCCTGGGATTCCTGCGGACTCCATTTGGTTTGCAAGTGTGACGTCATCACTCCAGACATCAAATTGCCATTTCTTCAATCCCAGAACTCCACTCAGCACTCTTCCGGTGTGAAGCCCAACGCGCATGTTCAAATTGACATCAGTCTTGTCACAAACCATACTGAAAATCAAAGTTAACGAAGTAAACATATACCATCTCCCCAGAGAAGAAATTTCACGTGTTTTCAATCCCTCTAATTATACATTTCTACTCATATGAAATACTGGTGTACTGAGCAGAAAGATCAAAAGTACATATTCAATGTTTTTTTTTTCTTATCCAACAATGTTTGTGCAATCGAAACGTGTTACCAATATTTGCTATAAAAATATATCCCATATAACAAAAAAACGTGTAGTATTATGTGTCACTCACGTCATCTCAGACAATATTGTTACATAAGCACCATTCCATTATTTTTAAATTGCTGATTAAGGCGACCTTGTGATACAGAAAAGATACATCAACAGTCAACACTCAATAAACTGTAAATCATATCACATGTTAAGGAGGCTGGGAGTCAACAAATTAACCATCAGATATAACTTAATTTGTTAGACATGATATCTTAAGCTGTCAACTATCATTTGGCAAAGAAAAATCTCATACATTTTAGTTTTGAAATTTGACCATTTTTGTATATCTTTATATGGAGCTCTTCTTCTAAAAGAGATCAAAATAGTCTGAAAATGGCCACAACCCCTCAGCCCCTTTAAGGAGGTCATCTCAAAGTTATTTTTACCGAATGACGTCAATCATATCCAATCCCATGTCGACGACAATTTTAGCGTGGTCCTCGTTTTTCTGGGGAACTCCACACACACAGTAATAACAGTCTCCTAGGATCTTGATTCTCAGACAATCGTAGTACTGAAATAAAGCCATGTATTAGAGATTTTGAAACATGCGATATATTGAATTGAAGTCACGTGATATTGAATTAAAGTCACGTGTTATTTGAGTGTTTGAATGCGATACTAGCATCTATTTTTATTTTAAGACAAATTAATTTCTTCTCAAAGAAATTTACATCCTTATGTGTAAGTGTCCAGCATCTGCTACCACAAAAGAGAATTTTACGTTTGCTTGATAAAATGCTAGAGAGCTGAATAAAGACTTGTAATATACAGTGAATAACATCGATGAAATAATGCAATAATTGGCAATAGAGTCACAAGGGGCATAAAACAATAATATATACTAATGGGAATCAGTAAGATCGAATTGATCTTGTCTTGTACTTTATCTAATTTGGAAATTAATCAGTCAGAGTCTTTTTTTAAATTCCCATAATCCATTGCGAAAAATCGATTTATTCTTCAGAGACTCAACAAAAAAGAACATAACAATGGACGACCTAACATCTAAAACAAATCAAGATATATAGCGAAACCTGTCTAATCCGACACCTGTTCAATCCGTCAAACTGTAAATTCCGACGGAAAATGTCTTTCCAATACTTTTTTACTTGTTTTTTTTTTTTTTTTTGGCATTATGCATCCGACACCCTGTCTATTCCGACACAAAATTTATTTAGTCTCGCAATGCATGTCGGATTAGACAGGTTTCACTGTATCAGGGGATTTATTTAAACTTCTTAATCAGGAAGTGTTTTTTGTACCTTTGCCAGGCGATCGAAGCTTCCGAACAGATCGTTAAGGATCCGCACAAGTTCCTGTGCCGTGCATTGAGACGACATTTTAGTAAAACCCACGATGTCTGCAAACAAGATGCTGAAAATATAAAGTTAAATGTTTTTGAAAGTTTTCCTGAACAATCTGCCTATTAGAACTGATCTGTTCCTCGAAAGAATTCATTTTTCTATATTCTAGTTCTATTCAAGTTTCTATATTCTAGTTCAAGGTCAAAGAGAAAATGATGGTAAAGAAATATTGATATATGATAAAACACTTAAATCATCGTGTTTATTTATTAATAGTAACAAATGATGAAAACTTATCTAATTATAAGGAATTCCGAAGTGAAATAAATGCATGTTCAAAGGAATGAAAAGACAGAAGACAGATAGTATATCCCTGCATGCCTATATTTTTGGTAAGCAAATAATAAATTGACCTAAACAACACGCTAATATAATTTTTACGTTTTAATGTAGGTAAATGATATATACATGTGGTTCGAGCTAATGCAGCCGTTTCACGAGCAAAGCAGCAAATGGTGACCTACAGCAATTGAATACAGAATATCAAATTCTTTCCAAAGGAAAACATGTCCTTGTCCGTCTTAAATATTTACTCCCCTAGTCAGAAAATGTGAGTAATATTCTTCAGACCAAATTCAGTGCTCTAAATAATATCAATTTTTATATTTAATTAAGCAAACAATAGGGTTCGTCAGGAGTGTAGCGGCTATACAATACGTAACCGCTTCCAGAATATAACGAACGCACCCTAAAAAGTTTTTCAGTCCAAACTAAGTGACCTCATGTATTTAAAAGACAAAAAATTAGTAAGAACAGCTCTAGTGACTACGTGTATTTTCAAAACAAACATTTGCCTCACATATATATATAGATATCTATTTAGTTTTGAACATTCTTCCATTAGCCGAGTTCTGGCTCTATATACCTGACAGGTTCGTAATGTTTGATGTAGATCTTGTGGAACTGTTGTTCATCTTCAGAAATCGTGATGTCATCTTTAACTTCTGAGGCAATATGGCGGGGTAAAACACTTAACAACAGCCGTTCCTGTGATGAATGGTGGCAAAATATGATACAAACGTGTAAATATCAAAGAGAAGTACCTGTCTTTATAATTTCCTTCTCACAATGTCGAGGGTTTGTGATTTCGGAACTCCAAACAATTTGAATGTTCTATAACGATGTTTTGGAAATAATTTTAGGAATGATTTCCAGCACAAACCCTCGACATTGTGAAGATGATATACTAGTAATTTATGACAAATATTGAATCATCACATGTTTTGGAAATAATTTTAGGAATGATTTACTGTGTAAGGAGTTCAGATCCGTCGTTGCTTAATACTGTGAAATCACTCATTTTCGTGGGGTTAATTTTCGTTGTTTTCGAGGTATGGAGGGACCTTCGAATTCATTACCACCTCGAAATGTAAAATTGCATTATTACTCAATGCTTCCCAAACCTCGAATCAAATCCCCACAAACCAATATTTCTTTCTAAAACCTCGAAAATTTGACCCTTCGAAAATATGTGATTTTACAGTATAGATTATAATCTAAAATTGGTTCTTCTTGGCTTCATTTAAAATAACCTCAAGCTTTGTTAACAAATACATGTAGATTTATTATATACTACACAACAAAATTAACTGAGTGTATCTTTGGTTGACAAACATTTGTTTTTTTATGCCCACGGCAAAAATTTTCTGCAAAATACTAAAAGTACTTTCATTACAAGAAAGATGCTCTTGACGTACCAGTTTTTCGTTCTCCTCTTGAATTTCCTTTTTGGCGGCTATACAGTTCCGAGTGTCTACGAAGGTCTTTCGTTGGGCTCTCTGGTTTACATTGTTGATGAAAATTCCCGCCACATTTACAGAGACGAAGAGAATTATATTGGCCAATAACTGAAATATTAGCAATACCTCTACATGTATATCAATTATTTTGTTCAAAATTTGTAAATACATGTGACATTCAAACTACATTATATTGTTTCCAGATTGCGTTCACAAAAAGTAAACTTGGGGTAACTAATCCGGAAAAAGCCACAGGATCGACTGTTCATATTATTTTTTCTTGGAACCACGCAAATGCTAATATCAGAGAAAGCGCGAACAGTTTTTAATTATATAGAACTAATATAGGTACATGTAAAATACGTTAATTATTTAATTAATGAGTTTACTATAAATAAACAAGAGGCCCAAGGGCCTTGAATCGCTCTTCTGATAAATTGCACAACCTATCACTTGTATTTGAAGCCTCTAACCCTAAGTATCCTAAAACCTAAGTTGCATCAACTGATAAAAAGTTTGATGATTCTTAGCCAATTAGGACTGAAGATATTTTAATAAAGCTATAAAAAAAAAAACCATGAGTAGGTCACGGTGACCTACTTTAAGATTGAAGTTTTCTGAGGACTCAAGATGCATTAATAGACAAACTAAGATTGAAGATTTTAAGATAATATGTATTTGAGATATTCAAAAGTAGGTCACCTTGACCTACTTTTTGGTCTACATTCTTGGAAAACCCAAGATGCATCAACTGACAAAGCTTGATGATTCTAAGCCAATAAATACCTGAGCTATTCAAAAGTATGTCACCGTGACCTACTTTTTGGTCGACATTCTCTGAAAACCCAAGAGGCATAAACTAACAAAGTTTGATGATTCTAAGCCAATAAGTACCGGAAATACTTAAATATAACCATAAAATGTCAAAAGTAGGTCACCGTGACCTACTTTTTGGTCGACATTCTCCGAAAACCCAAGATGCATCAACTGACAAAGTTTGATGATTCTAAGCCGATAAGTACTGGAGATACATAAATATAGCCATAAAATATTGAAAGTAGGTCACCGTGACCTAATTTTTGGTTGTCACTCTCCAAAAACCCAAGATGCATCAACTCACAAAGTTTGATGATTCTAAGCCAATAAATACCTAAGATACTGAAATATAGCCATAAAATGTCGAAAGTAGGTCACAGTGACCTACATCTTGGTTTTTTCAGAGTCCCAAGATGCATCAGCTGACCAAGTTTGATGATCATTGGTCTGAAGGTAATCAAAGTATGCCTTTTAAACAATTTGAAAACAAATGCCTGCAAAATTCTAAAAGTAGGTCACAGTGACCTACTTTTACTTAAATATGTTTTAAGGTCCCAAGATGCAGCAACTTACAAGATTTGATGATTCTAACCCTCTCAGTGTCTGAAATAATGGGATGAAATATTTTAAAAAGAATAAGTCATAAAGTTCAAAAAGTAGGTCACGGTGACCTACTTTTAAGTTGACGTTGTTCAAGGACCCAAGATGCATCAACTGACAAAGTTTGATGATCATAGGCCTTAAAGTGTCCTAAATATGCCTTCAAATCAATTTGAAAACAAATGCCCGCAAAATTAAAAAAGTAGGTCACCGTGACCTACTTTTGAGTTAACATGATTTGAAGTCCTAAGATGCATCTACTTACAAGATTTGATGATCCTAGTCCTTATAGTAAGCAAAATATAGACATTTTCATTAATTGTAAATTTAGGTCAACTTTGAAGTGACCTTGAGACCACGCCCTTTGCCCCAGGGTCATGCCTTGAACAATTTTTAATCTTCAACATATCCTGATCATTGTATGTAAGTTTGGTGAAAATCTGCCTGGTGGTTCTGGAGAAGAAGATTTTTTTGCAACCAGTACTTTTGGTTTTGTTTTCCTGATTATCTCCCCTTGTTTTAGGGTTCCAACCCTTATTTTAGTATAAATGGTAGCCCTTGGGCAAGGATACCCTGTGACAAATTTGACACTGATTGGCCAAGGGGTTCTTGAGTTATGGCCCATATTCTAAAAAGTTAACGCACACCGCACACCGCACACCGCACGACGCACACCGCACACCGCACAAATGGCCATAGCATTAGCTCTTTGAGCCTTTGGCTCAGAAGAGCTAAAAATGATAATGAGTATTTAACTTATAAAATTATTTATTTTTATTGATCTAAACGTAAATGCATTTATTTATTCATTTATTTTTGTATTTTATTTAATATCTTTATACTTTTTTTTAATTTATTTATCTTTTTACGTAATTCAAAGAATCCAGGCCAATTTATCTTGGACTTAGACATTTTATACAAACTTAAACTATCTCCCATAATAAAAATTTTCTTTCATGTATTTTTTTCTTCTAAGATCTTTTAATTTTATTTATGTTTCCGCCAACTAATTTCTTCTCTTTGGTATCATGAACTGATGTTCAGTTGCGTATTTCACGAGCAAATTTGCTAGTTAACGTTCACATAAATATTTCATTATCAACACTCAAACGTCGCCGCAGAAGAGTTTGAAGTGGGTATATTCTGTGAACGAGATGCTTTAAAGTAAAGAAAACTGGCATTTGTATCCGTACGAAAAGGTTGATAAACCGAAGAAAAATGTTTCTGAAGTTTCATATACACGTAGTAACATTTTTCTTTTGTTGTTTTTCTCATTTCGTTAAAAAACGTTATGACATTGTCTTTTCTGTGAAATTGGAACAAAGCCGCAAATTTTTAAGAGCTTTTTTAACTTCAAAAAGAAAAGAGTCGTGACCTTCACGCGGAAGTTAACCCTACTCTGTGCAATATTGTCGTCATTGATAGAGAAAAAATCCGTCATGTACTAACACTGATTTGTAACGTCTTTATGGCAGGGAAACAAACATTTTGGCAAAGACTAAGCATTCTTATGAACATCTGCAATGTAGAGAAATGTTAGTATCTGTTTACTCAGTAGTAAAAGTGCAACCATCATGAGGAATACAAGTAGAATCGGTGGGATTAGGTGCCATAGAGGAGTGAGCATCCCCATCCGACCGGTCACACCCGTCGTGTGCACCTTCTTATCATGGGGGAAATAAAGGGAAAATTACACAACGTTTCATTTTTCGAATTTATTTCTTCCTCTCCACCCTTTCTATGAATCTACTTTCTTTTTCCCAACCTCCATGATATATTTCCACAAAGTTCTGTCCAAAATCTAACAAAATATATGGAATAAATCTTGGAAATCTCTATTGGAAACGTATAAAGAAATGAACAGATAAGACAAAACTTGGCTAAGCTAAAACGAAGATGTGATCTTAGCACAAGTACATGTGTATATCCGCCAGGCAAAACAACATAATCTACGAGGTTCAAGAAAGAATGACTACAGTAAAACTAATTTACTGCCCAAGAGGACAATTCTCCACTATAAAATCGATATTTAATCATTTTGAAGGTTTCAGTTAAGCGTTTCTTTAAATCCCCAATCCTAATATTCATTTACAGAACAATAAAGCAGCATCGCCAGGAAGCGTTTTGAATGAATCGTGGTGTAATTCGTAATTTGGACGTATATTCTAGAAACCATCAGATAATGTGATAACATTGAATCCCTTTGCTACTATACTTATAATTAACACGCTAATAAAATACATATAATGGAACCACGGGAATCATATTACGCCACCTATGAACTTTATCAGGACATTCAATATAAAGTCCGGTCACTCCCTTTTTAGACGGAGGTTGTATGACAGCCTCCGGTTATAGGGATTGCCTTGCCCATGGAATGTAAACAGGAAAGATTTCCCAAGCACCATCTATCGGTGAATTTGTTTTCATTACCTTGAGAATTCTATTTTTAGAGCGACTCTGAGTAACACCGACCGCAAGGATAGGCATAGTCTAAAACAAAGATCGCGTCACATACAAGTATAAACAAACAGTTCTACTTTTTCTAAATAAACAGGATTTGTCTAATATTTTTAAAATGACGTGTATATAAATACATTTCCTACGGAATATGTAAAAAAAATGTGATCTACTGTTAATTTTTTATCAGACAGAATATTAGGAGATTTTGTTCCAACAGATGATGATAAAGCGCGTTTTCCAATATGCCGAGCCTTTTCCCACCGATAAAGAAGTGGCGGATCTGAGGGAGTTTGGGGGGGGGGGGGGGGGTTAACATCCGCAGAAAGTGATCGAGGAACCCCACTTATCAATTGCTTCTTTTATTAAAGTAAAAACTATCTCTAGATAAAGATAAGTTTAAACTTTAGTTTTATATTTAATTGTAAAAACTTTCACCAGAATTCGCCTGTATCAAACTAAGTGTGGAGACGCAGATGTACCTGTATTATGTATTGAAGAAAATCCTGCAATGCCGCATGCAAATGTTTTATGTCGCAGGTATGAATATAAGATATTTTAATAATAGATCAGGCATTTCAGTTTTAATGGAATTTTTTGTGCTTGATTGCCGTTTGTATTCTCATTTTCACTCCTTTTCTAATTTCTTCTTGAAAGGGCCGATTGGTTTGCGGCTGATTTTTGACGCTTGCATCAATAGGTTTCATGGAGTTTTTTTAATCTGACAAGGATCGATGAATAAACAAATGCATAGTATTTTTATCTGTAGGAATATTAAACGTCTAGTTTTGAATTCTTTATTTGTAATTATGCATAATTTTAGGAAACACATGAAAATAGATTTACACTTTCTACAAACGGTTTGAGTGTTTGGGGGTACCCTCAATTAGATAAGAGAGAAACAAACGGCAACTCTGATATTGAGATCAAAATGCCAAATCTTGGTTCATAGGATTTACATGATTTATCACATTATATCCTAATTAATAATTAAAAATTATATCGTCTGAAATAAATTGTCTTATTGTCATATCGTTGATCCTTATTTGCATTTGATACTTGTGTTTTACCTCTTTCACACCTCAAACTTTAATTATTTTTTATATACAAGATTACATGTATTTCTGATCATTGGTATTCATGTAAACTTTTTTTAACCTACATCATTGGAGAAGTGATTGTTTGAACAGAGTTACTGAAAAGCAGAAATCATAGTTATATATTTATTACTT